GCTGTGTTTGTGGGGAGGCCCACGGTCACAGCCCTGTGAGGGGTTTCTCGGCAGGCTGAGGGAGTGGGGTCCCCCTTTCTCTGCCCATTGTCACGGCCTCCCAGAACTCCCACCCCCAGGTCTCCCACCCCCGGCATCACGTCACTGGCTCCAGTGGCTGGTTATCACTGGCCCGGTTTCCCTGGCCATTTCCTGCCCATAACTGGCTGCAGCCCCATGCCTGGGCTGGCTGGGGAGGTTTGGCCCCATGCCCGGGGGGTGGGCGCGGGGATTGTATCAGTCTCCACACACTCACTGAGACACTTGACTCCACTGATATCCCAGACTGCCCCGCGGTCCTTCAGCTCTGTGCAGTTTGCAGGGAACGGGCCGGGTTCAGGCTTCTCGGGGCACGTCACCAGCACCGTGTCATTCACCCAAAACACCGTCAGCTCGGAGGGAAAGGTCACATTCGTGGTCCAGGGTCCCTGCCTCCTGCATGTGTCTGTGATGGGGGGAATGAGAGGTTGAGGCCTGGCTGGAGACGGAGCCTGGTCACCACCTTAGAACCTCCGCGGCCTGCCGGGAGACCGAGGAAGGACCAAGTGCTATTTCCCCTGGATAAAAGCATCTGTCCCTTTTTCCAGTCACTTCTCTGTCTGGCTAATGCAGCTTCTTTCCGTCCCCCCCCCCCCAGCCTGTGGAGACACCTCTACATTCCTTGGATGACTCCTGCGACTGGTGTCTCTGCACCAGGCTGGGCTGCTCCTGCCCGTGTCTGCTCCCTCTCTCCGGTGCTGGGGGTCAGGGACCCAAAGCCTCCAGGCCCCAACCAGCAGGGCTGGAGAAGTCTTGCTTAACCACAGACTGCAGGGCAGGACAGCTCTCCCACGCTGAGTACCTGGCCTCAGCTAGTCCCCCTGGAGAAATGCACCCACGGCAGCTGTGGGGAAGACTCCAGCTGCAGACCTGGGCAGCAGGCATGGCCGAGGGGGGGACGTTTGGCAGGCATGCACAATAGTGCATGGCAGCTAAAAAGGCCAGTGCAATTGGGAGATCACACAGAGGCCTCAGGTGTGAACGGGGAGGGGAGGGATCCTTGCCAAGGTGACCACACCTGCAAGCGAGGCTCTGACTCAGTGGGTGCTCTGGGGCTGGAGCACCCACGGAAAAAAATAGTGTGCGCTGAGCACCCAGCAGCAGCCCCGCAAATCAGCTCCTCCCACTGCCTCCCATCGCAGATCAGCTGTTTAGCAGCGTGCCGGAGGTGCTGCGGGGAGGGGATGGAGCAAGGGCGGAGCGTACATGGGGGTGGAATGGGGCAGGGCCTTGGGGGAAGAGGTGCAGTGGGGGCGGGCCCTAGGGCAGAACAGGGGCTGAGCACCCCCAGGGAAATGAGGAAGCTGGCGCCTGTGCCTGTAAGAGCGAGTTCGTTAGTGGAGCCTCCATCCAGGAAAGCTAGTGCAAAGAGCAGGAGGTTCAGAGGGCCTGGACCAGAGGCTGAGTGCGCTAACGCTGCCTCTGCTCCCAGCTGGAGACCACACGTACCCCATCTCATTGACTGGTTACTTTGGGGCTGAATCTACCCTGGTGTGTGATCACAGGCTGGTAACATCCCCTCTGTCTGTTCCTCCCTATTCCTAATGGGGCTAATGACATGGACCCACCTACCTCCCAGCAGGATTCACCCTTTAATGCCTGTCTTGAGATCTTGACAGATCAAACAGGGTTTGAGGAATGAGCAGGGGCTAGGTTGGGGGAAATATGAAGAGAACTCCCTGTGTTTACTAAGCTGGGGGATGGCGTCATGGTCCGTCCCAGCTAGGGGCTGGCTACAGAGCCTGCTTCTAAGCGGGGCACCCACCAGCTGTGTTCAGTATCAGATCCTTTGCTGCGCTGCCAGGCTTGGCTGGCGTTAGCTTAACCAACGTGTTTCACGCACAGCACCACGTAGTGCCCGAACGGTACAATATATCCTACATCCCATTCCATCTCCCCCTTTAAGATCCACATTCCTGCCCCTCACAATCGCTATCAGTACGATTCAGAGACATTTGGTTTCTAACTAGACACCCGTTAGTGCCATCCTTCTCTGAAAAATTTTCAGGTGCAGTGGTCATCCCCAAAGGTAATCTTCACAAGCAAAATCTCCCAAAGGGTGTGATAAATATTTAGCACTTTCTTTGGCTAAAGGAATTTGGTAGAATCCACTTGACGCATCCAGTTTGGAGAATACTGTAGCCGTTTCACCTTGGGGAGGAAGCCGTCCAGTGTTGGGAGGAGATATTTTTCTCCCACAACTGCTTCATTAAGTCTTTTAAGAGCCACACAGTGGTTTAAAAGAAAGCCCAACAGGATGGCGCAGGGTCATGCTCAATTCTCGTGGTCACTCCCCCTCCCCTCCTGGCCTGCCTAGTTACGCTAAGGCTGCTACAAAGGCCTGGCAGCTTAGCTGATGTTGGCAATAAGCATAATAATCGATATTCCAGTTACGGGCTGTGGCCTAGGCACTTTGCTGCAGTCTCAATGTTTCCCCTAACACCATGTCACGTTCCTCTGTACCCGATACCGGCTGGCTACAGAGCTGCTTATACATCAGCCGTGTTCATCATGAGATCCTTTAATGCTCGGCCAGGTATGGCTGAGGATTATTTAAATCAGTGTTTGTCAAGCCGGGGTGTGTGCACTCCTGGGGTACGCAGAGATCTTCCAGGGGGAAATCAACTCATCTAGAGATTTGCCTAGTTTTATAACAGGCTACATGAAAAGTACCAGTGTGGTCAGTATAAAACTAACAATGGCTTGTTTGTACTGCTCTGTAGAGCATACACTGACATGTAAGTACCAGATTTACATTCCAATGGAGTGATTTTATAATTATATGGTAAAAGTAAGAACATCAGCAATTTGTCAGTAATAGTGGCTGTGACACTTTCCTATTTTTGTCTGGTTTTGTAACAAGTCGTTTTTAAGTGAGGTGGAACTTGGGGGTACACAAGACAAACCTCACTCCTGAACAGGGCACAGCTGTCTGGAAAGGTTGAGAGCCACTGATTTAAATAAGGTATTTTACACACAGTGCCACCTAGTGGCTGAATAATGAAATGCAATTTAGCATCCCATTACACCCAGACCTTGCACCCCTGACCCTCCAGCCTCACGTCCTTTGGGGACAGCTGGGGGCAGGCTGGGCTCTGGGGGTGGCACTGCCCACCCGGGAAGGCCGTGCTAATAACTAAGGCTACATTTTAGTCACAGGTATTTTTAGTAAACATCATGGACAGGTCAGGGGCAATAAACAAAAATTCACGGCCTGTGACTTGCTGTAACTTTCACTCCATGCATCCGAAGAAGTGGGTTTTTTACCCACGAAAACTTATGCCCAAATAAATCTGTTAGTCTTAAGGTGCCACCGGACTCCTTGTTGTTTTTATTAAAAATGCCTGTGATTAAATCTTGGAGGGGGGGGTGCTGGGGGGGTGAGGGAGGCTGTTGCTGGGGTGTGAGTGGGGGGGAACATCGGGGGGGTCACTGCTGAGGGGGCGCCTGGGACCAGTGTCACCAGTTGCTGGGGGCTGTGGACCACGGCTGCTCCAGTCAACTGCCTGGGACCCACTGCCTGGGGCCGCAGTCCGTGGCTGCTCCAGCTGCCCCAGGACCGCTGCCGGAGGCCACCTGAGCAACTGGTCCTGGAGCCAGCTCCTTGGGCGGCCCTGGGGTCAGCCACGCTGGCCGCTGCACAAGTCACGCAGTCAAATCAGGCACCTTCTTCCTGCTCACTGCCTGGGCGTCA